AAAAAAAAAAAAAAAAAAAATTATCTATGGTTTTGCGCATTTTGCGCATAATCGTTTCTGGAAAAGCCGTTTTTACGTTTAATATATTTCTAAATGCTTTTAATCACGTACAGCCATTTAGGTTTAAATTTTACGATTTCCTAAATCTTTAGACAGTATATTTACATTATCATCCGCTCTAACTTCATATCAACATTCATAATCGAGCTTTTTGCACTTTTTCAATCTTGTGCAGATTACAGATTAGTGTGTCTTAATAAAAATAATTTTATTCTTATAATCGTTATAAGATTATTGTTAGGATAGATGTTTCAAAGAATTTGCTTATTTTTCTGAAAGCGTAAGATTTTATACTCTACTATTTTACTACTACGTTGGTTCATGTACAGCTTTGTTTGAAAATCGAGGCTTAATTTTAATAAGGTTTTCATATAAACATGAATATAATACGCATCAAAATGTATGACTTTTTGAATTTTTTCGAAAAGATTAATACATCACAATATTATATAAAGTGTACAAATTTTGTTATTATTGCGTGTAATTTGCGGTTAGATCTGTTTATTATAGAATCTACTTAACATTGCTAGTAATTAGTATCGTTTTACACAGTTACTTTTACAACTAGCGATTATTTTTAGGTCGAGCCTAACATTTAGAAATCTACGTAGCGTTTGTACAGATATTTTTCGCATCTTCCGAAAATTTTGTAAGTACCTGTGATTGACATCAGACGTTTCTTTCATAGGGCCCATAATCTACATTTCTTTAATCTCCAGTATTTTTTTTACAATAGGATTTCTATTAATGTAGGTAATTTTTCATATTTTGTGCATTGCAGTAGTTTTTATCATTCGTTTACAAATGAATCGGCGGTATATAGGAGAATATGGATTTTATATATATATATATATATTTTTTTTTTCCATGAGCATAGTAATGCAGCATAATTCTGCATTCAATCACCACATCCATGACGTGCGCGTAATTTTTACATCGCGCAAAATTTTATTCTTTTCGAGTAAAAAAAGAATTTTTGGTTCACAAATCGTGCAAAAAAAATTTTACAGCAATAGTTATAAGAGCTTCTGTGTGCTAGTGGCTTACGGTGGTCATGGTCAGGCAAAGGTAAAATAAATGATGATCATAATTATCCTATACTACAAATGAATCTTTCAAAGGGAACTCGCGTCTCAAGTCTAATATCACGTGCGTTATCTAACCACCATCGGTCACTCAGTCAAATAATTTTCATTACACATTGTAGAAAATCAAACTACATGACACAACATTTACCAAAAGTGACAAAAACCATTGCAAACTTATTTTACACCTAAAAACTTTGTTGTTTTTTTTGTTTTACCATTCATATTTCACAGCATCTCTTCAATGAAACTAATTGGGTATGTATTTCTTTGTATTAGCAGCAGTGACGTCGAATATGCCCGGAAATCCAACGGTCCCAACAAGCACGGTTACGCCTTCACCTCTGCTGAACAATCCCACTGTACAGAAGGCACTTGATAGCCTATTTCAAGGCAATTTGTTGAAAAACATTGGCGATCAGCAACAACAGCAGTCGGTTCCGGTAAATTCTTCCGGTCCGACTCCGCTTTTTGCTGCCTTTTCCAATATGAATCGTTTCTAAGCTCAAGATAAGATAAGAAGAAATAAGAATAAAGTCGCGTCTTTATTTCCTCCTCCCGCCTTCATCATCTACCTTTTCTGTAATTATCCTTTTTTTTACTCTTACAGTAAGTACCTTTCCCTTTACCTTCTAATTCGATGCATTTTTTTATTCAATAATTATAGACCAATTAAAATATACGTGAACAGCATGTATGTATTCATAACAACTAGATTAGCTATTATAATAGTTGTGACATAATTAACTGAACTTGTAATAAATGTCTCTGTACTCTCAAACAACGAGCCGTTTTTTTTACAAACCTCTATGATATCGAACAATCTACCTTTGATTGAATAAAGTTTGTATTTAAATTGTATGCATGTTTTGGTGTGCCACCCTTCAAATCCTTTCTCCGTGAAAATTTTGTGTTTCTGAGAATCCTCACGACTGGACTCGAAGATGATGTGAAAATTAAAAGTAAGTAAAATTTACTTATCACAATAAATGCGTACAGTGATGTAGTCTGGTTGTTTAAATATCACGTTTATGGATCTATAAATGTAAAAGATGAATCCATTATTACTGATATTTCAGGGTAACTACCAAGCGTTTGCAGCAGCAGCAGCAGAACTAATAGCGAATATCAAACTACAAAAGCTTTGAAAAAAAAAAAAAAAAAAAAAAAAATGTTTTTTAAATGTACGCCTGGTTCGGTCGCTTGGCCGTGGAAAAAAGTGGACACACTTCGTAGCATTGCAGTTAGCCATCTCCTTGCGATGGAAGCGCGTAATCGCGCATAGGGCCCAAAACAACCCCCTGACAACACCGAAACAACCGACTGATGCGCCCACCCCTTCCCTCATACTCCATATTCAAGCAGACTGTGATACCCACGCATGTATTAGGGCTCCTGTATACATACGCGGATTCGCCGGAGCGAAGGTTTTCATCAATCCCTGCCTCTCTGCGTGCGCTGTGTTATACCCAAGATTATACCTATATGGCTTGGTACTTACGCTACTCGCAGACTTTGGAAAGNTTTTGAAGAAAAATAAAACTAAAAATAATAGAAAAAAGAAAATTTTGTCACTAAGTGTTACCAATAAAAAGTAACAGTGTTTAAAAAAAAAAAATTGCAAATATATCATGTGAGATGGAGGCATTTGTTAAAAAATCGTTATTTCTTTTCCTCTAATCATGCTGACAATGGGAAGTTGCCACATACGTTATTTTGGATTTACCTTGAGTAACAATACACACGAGATCGCTATCAGCATACTCATCAAATTTTGGATTACAACAAACAGTTTGAGTTTGATCACTGTACAAGATTTATAGTAGAAAAAAAAAAATAAAAAAAATGTATTAAATGTAATGCTTTTGAATAATTAAACCATACCAACCGAGTACGAATTCGACGACACTATGACGCAGTTGCGAAATATGAGCGTACCGCAGAACTTGACGTCGTCTTTTTCAACGGCTTCCCTGAGCTCGTCCATTTCATACTTTTTCCCAAAGAATTTCGTAACCACGGCCAAAAGCACAGCGGCCAGGGCTGATATGCAGGCAAAGGCACTGACCTCCATCAAGGGACGCGTGTCCAAGTTCGTGGACAAACTGAGCGCGCACCTGGTTTCGTGGCCCAAAAATTTCCCATCGTCCGTGAATCCCGCTGTTCTGTTATCTGTACGGGCAAATCGGTTACCGCGTGATTTATGGTGCGGACGGGAAAACGGCTCTTTTCGGGTTACCTGGATTTTTTTCGGCTATCTCCGCGTCTCTGCGCACCTCGTCTATGGCCGTGCCATTTTTCGTGGCTATTATCAGCAAGCGTATGATTTTCGTGAGTATTCGTATCTTGTCCTTGTCCAGCTTGAGCAGTTTGGAAAGCACCGCGAGTATGGGGCACTCGGTGCCATGGGCCAACTCCCAGTCCCGCGTCTTGCATTTTTCCGAGCAGTACTGGGCGACGGGGCACGCCGGGCACGGTATCAAGTTGTAACTGCGCTCCAAACAGTGGTGACAGTGCGTGTAGTACCTAAGCGCGAAGAGAACAACATCAACACGAGGTAATTACGAGTAACACTCTTTCGTCAAACAATGATAACAACGCATCCATACTCTAATTGTTCAATGACCAATATTTGTTTCAGCCTAGCACTCACTTTTCCCTGTAGACGACGTAAGCGTACGGCTTCTCCATGGCAACAATGTCCCCGGGCTGGAACTCCTCGGTGGCCTCCAGGTACCTCCCGTACTTTTGGGAGTAAGCGATCCGCACACCCTTGCTCAGAGCCGGGGCCTCCTCGCTGGGACCGTGGGCAAAGGACAGCTCCCTCTCCTCGACGATGTACCTGGCCGGGCCCTTCCTCCCCTTGGACATCAACTCGTCGAGATCATCCGTGGCGCAGGCTTCGGGGGCAGCTCGGTCGTCGATGAACTTCCTGATCATGGCGAGGTCGCCCTCGATCGGCTCCTGGTTGGGGTCCCCAGTGGCAGGCAGGTCGTTCATGTTGAGGTCCTTGGGCCGGTAGAGCTGGCGAACGGCCTCCACGGCCTTCTGGGCCCGATCCTTGAGCTTCCTCTGCTTGTCAGGCGGGTAGCCGTGGACCAGGGCTGCGTCTATGTCGATCAGGCACTCGCGGTACAGCTTCTTGCGGTAGAGGGCCGCCGAACGATTCGCCAGGGCCAGGGCCATGGATCCTCGGCTCGGCGCGTAAGCTAGGCTCATCGTGTACTTTTCTATCGCCTCGTCGTCGTCGCCCGACACGAAGCTTTGGTTACCTGAAACGCCGAGCACTGCGATGTAAGCATTTTTCCGTCATTTCAATAAAGCTTGCGAACCATCGATCACTCTCCGTCTTTTTCATTGGAACATTTTTCTCTTTTTCCACATCCCAATCGGAGAGTCAGTGTATTTGTATTTTTTTTTTATCCAAAGCGCGCAAAAACACATTTAACGCAATGAACGATGTATGCATATTTTTTTGCTTTTCTCTCAAATTTAATCAAGACCCGGCACCGCGTGAACGCGGGTCTATAAAAATTGATGTTACCCTCCTCCCTGAACCTGGCCGAGTCCTCCTCGTTCTTGGCATCGGAGTCCAGCGGGGGCATCTTCGTCTTGACCATGTTGCTCAGCACGTGGCTGACCAGCGCCTCGCACTCCTTTTGCAGTCCGTACCCGGCGTGCGAGTTGTTCCTCTGCACCGCCGTTATCAGCTCCTTGGCCAACTCCATAACGACGAGCTACTCTCAAGCGTACATTACATATATATTCATTACACACACTTTAGCGAAACTCGGACGAAACCGTCCGTACAAGTAAGTAATTTTTCTTGCTTTTTTATTTTTTATTGTTTCTCCTTAATGAGTAATTTTTCTCGATACTTGCGACAATTCCTCGCTCAATTATGTAATTTAAACGCGCATTGGGGTGACAGAGCGCCCGAGCGCGAAACACTCGATGGACGATTTTTTCTTTCTTTTCCAACCGATGGCGGTAGATCGTTAAAAAAAAAAAAAAAAAAAAAAAAAACCAATTCGTACTATTAAAACATAATGTACGTAGGTGTATATAATTATATTTACCGTGTAATTGTGTGGGCAAACAAGCCGTAGATGATAATATAGTTGGATAGGGGGTATATGCGCCCGTGTGCGCGATTGCGAACTAAATTAGCCGAGGCTATCGGTATACGCTTGTACCGAGCAAGGTGGATGCACCGGAGAGGAATAGCGGGTAAAATCGAGCAACGAGACTAACACTCGGGGACTAAAATTACCCCCCTGCTGGTGCTACCTTTATTTGGTATACCCACATTTGTACATACGTACCTATACGTGATATAGCGAAGGCGGCGCCCGTAGGGTTTGCTTTTATATGCCCACTTATGCAATGCTTTCTCGCCTCGTGTTGTATTATTGTACGTTATACACGCGCTCTCTCTTTCGCCGGTCTCTCCGACTTCTTGCGCTTGGAGCTATTAGGTGGTACACTCCCGGCCGCTGCTGCAGCTGCCTCGATTATAATTAAATCGCCCACCGTTGTTTTACCACTTTGCTCATTTGCTCAGAGATTTTTTCTTTTTTCTTTTTTTTTTTTTCAACCGTCGATTCCTACAAATGTCGACAAGATATTTTTTGTGCCATTTTTTACATGCTAACACAGGTACACCACTTGTACGATGAACGATACATTTACTAATATTTAGCCATTATGATTTATACATTGATACGTACACGCAGGAAGATCTCCTACTGCTGTATATCCTATGAACAATTTTGTTGAAAATATATGAATGTTTGTTGAAACGAAAAACGCTCAGCTCGTCTTTTATCCACACACCTTCTGTAACTTTATTTTGTTATTAATATTATTTGCTAATTATGGTATTATTGAATAAAAAAATGGTTTTTAAAAGGTAAGTAAAAAAAAAAAAAATACTTACATACCAAACAAAACGATTGATCCAGTGCACTTTCTTTGACAACTAAAGTGTGTACACCCAATTGGCGTATTTTAACGATGATGGATCAAGTGTTTTTGTGATTTAATTATTTTTGGCACTGCCGTGAGAATCACAAACATTGTCGAAAGACGTCCGAGCGAATGGCCAAATTACCTGGTGATAATTACGTAAGTCCGGTGCAAGTGATGGTGGTTATTTATTCGATTTTGCCGCTGGCCGAAGAACCAGGTCCATGAATCATCCGAATATCGTTCGCTTAATGGACTAACGAAGAGAGCGGACGCGGCAAGTGTCAAGTGGGCTGCTAAGGCTGTTTGAATGGATATATAGGTATAGTATCTAAATGGCTCTAACAAGCGAGCTATATATTTGCGAGCCTTCGTATGATTGTTACCATTAAAATTTAAGCTGACAATTAAAGTACCCCGCGGTAATCAAGTTATGTTGGCTCGTAGCCAGGTGTTTTTTTTTTTTTTTTCAATCAAGCTCTGTTTTTTTATTTATTTATTGCTGTGGCCCGTTTGCTTATGATTTTACATACTTGCACGTTGAAATGGAAATTGAAAGGTAAGAGGGAGGAATGATTGATTTAAAACTGCTTAGGAATCGAATTGAAATATCTTTATTCACCAAAAATCACACAATTATGTATTAACATCTAAGTAGAATGAAATGCGATGTGAAATTTTCACAATATTTCAAATGACAGGTGTTTCGATTCAAAGTTACATTTAAAAAACAAAAAAATTAAAGCGTGTATACTGCTTGTATAACGTGAGAATCGATAAAATCACATTAAATGAAGATGCATAGTATTATGTACATTACATTTTTAAGTGTTATTAATATTCTTATTATTATATAATAGTAAAATTGTCCAGCTGGTGATATAAATAAATTAAAACCGATAAGTGATGTATATAATCAAGAGATCAGCAATCAGAGGATCATCATATTCCTTTCAAACTGCATAGTTAAAAATACAATTTTCAATCTTATGCTACATTAAAAATTTCACTAATTCACATAGTTCAGTCAAGTCAACAATTTCATTTGCCCTTGCACTCGGGTTACTTCGCATTGAGAGTATAAAAAAATCCTTATACAGTCAATTAAAATATAAGTTTCTTTTAACTTCTTTGGATTAGAAATATATAGACTTTTCATTTCGCACTTTGACACTAAACATCCGACTTGAGAGTCACGACGAATCACATGCAGTTATACATTATTTTACTCATTTTGCAGTCGCTCTTTTTTTATTACTTTATTTTTTTAGTGTTTCCCGTGTTAGTCTTTGTCAAATAGTTGCCATGTACACCGTTTATTCTTACATTATAGTTTTATTTAAGAATAACTTGTCAAAAGACCGACTTACGTGTTTTTCGTTAGAATCTTTATATTATTAATTTTATTTTAATACAATAGCACATATTTTTTTCACAGATAATTACAGAGTAGCGACACTCTAGTCAAAATAAAAAAGCAGTTCTAAGTAGTGAATAGTCAGTTTTTATCTGCCAAGCCTCATTAGGATAAGTTCAGCTCTTAGTATAAAATTATTAATCTCTACAACGACGTTTCGTTATTGCTTGTAAAATTACCAAGAAAACACGTCAAGAGAGAAAGTTTTAAGCTAAACGAAAATCTCAATCCCTTCAATTAATTTAAATCGCCTAATATACAAATTTGTAATCGATCATTGCGTTTTCAAACATTCTCAACAATTTCTTTACTTTTTTAAAAGAGCTATAAAATACTGAAGTATTAGTTGTCTAAAATTCATTTTGCATTGAATATTGCATTGCTCATTAAACACAATTATTAAGTAGTGCAAGAGAATATACACAACGCGCATGCACAAACAATATAATTTGTGCGCCTTTTTCAAAACGAGGTTTGAGCATACATACCTTAATTTTTTCTCAATCCTTTGATACATAAACAATTGATTTGCTTATGCATTGTTTGCTGTTGAGATCATCAGGCAATCTCAAAGTAAACAAGGCTCTCTGGTTTTTTTTTTTATCATTTGGTAAGACTATACCCTACCTCGCTGAGAATATGTTCATGGTACTGTTGGCGTTGCGTTTTCTTACAAGACGAGCTGCAACTGTAAAAAAATTTCATTGTTTAAAAGAGACAAAGGTGAGATTTCATATTTAAAAAAATGTATTTCTGTCAAGTATACTTACTATTAGCGTCTTTAATAGTTAACGGTCTTTCAAGAACTTTTTGAAGAACATCGATCCATTGCATCCTATCATCTTCATTTTGAGCCGAAAGAAGGTAAGTCCTGTCTGGCGTCTCAAGAGTAAAAGAGCACCCTTGATCACGAGCACCTGCAGGAACGCCCATTTTTACCGAATAACCCTCTGAACAATGTCCTATGAATATTTCTCCTTTTGGATAGGCATCCTTGAAACAAACATTTCATCATTCAATTAAATAATAGCGAATAACATAAAATACCTGTAATCTAGTCATTAAAATTACCATAGGATCATCGTGATACATTAATTTGCGGTTATCGAGTGTGAACCAACGCTTTTTGTAAGCATCAGTAGGTCTCGGTCCTGTTTTCCACAAATATCCTTCTTTAAGGAAATCCTTGGTAAGTTGACCAATCAACTCATCATCAGATGCGCCAGGATATGCTAGCTGCAGTAGATGCAACTGTGCACATCTAATAGCAAAATACCAGTTGATTATTATTTTAGGATCTTCATGATAAACATAAATGTGACGCGTTGTTCCATCCTTTAGAAATGAGATTTGAAGGCTATTTTGATTTCCAGTCTTGTTAGGGACAAACGATACGTTCAATTCTGATAACTGCAATACTGCTTTTGGTTCCTGTGTCATAATTAAAAGTGATTTTACAAATTTTGACGCTAAATTGACTTTACTACTTACAATCAAAAATACGACAAACGTATCTCACCTTATTTTCTTTAACGTAATACTTCAAGGTGTTTTCCGACTCTTTAAGTACAAACTTTCTGGGCTGATACCTGGCATCTTCCTTTCCCCTTTTCATCAAAAACCCTTCCATAAATCCATTCATGTAAGGATTCTGTCTCTCAGGATAATAGAACTCTTGTGTTTCGTACTTTGCTTTGATCCACTGCTCTATCAGTACTCTACCAAAAAAAAGCTAGTTATTCATCTTACACTGCACTCAAGTAGGCAATGAAAAAAGAAAAGGAAAAAATGGCTTACTGAGGCGAATCAGGACCGGGTCTTATGTAACAGGCAGGTACTCTGTCCTCGTATCGCAATTTCGCCACGGTGTTACCCACCTCACGCATTCTTTCCACTTGCGAGTCTTCCCATCTGTCGAGCCTGAGATGCTTTACTTTTGATATGTGTGCCCCCATGGAGCGATGCACACCCGCGCATCGGGTGCACACAAATACCCCGATGTTGTACGATGCCCATTCTGGTGCTGCATAAGAAAGAAATACAAAATAACGAGAAGTGAATTAATTAGACACTGTTAAAGAGAAGCTAACGTGATTGTAAAACGCATGACAATCACTTCGACATTGAGAACTGGAGCGATAAACAAACGATGTATAAAAAAATGCTCATTTCTCATAATTGTTATCTTGACAGTGTTTTGACATTTTCAAGTAATGAATCATCATTATCCGGAAAGAGAGGAAAATTCCATAAATTACTAATGTAATCTATGCATACAGATGTAAACATTCGTATACTTGAACTGACAGCATTGCACGCGTGTATGTCAAAAAGTATTGCAATAACTGCGTATCATAAGAAAAGTACTTGCAAAACAAAATAAAGTCAAATGTCAAGTATATACATTGTAGCAATGCCCAAAATTATGCAAATTTTCCCCCAAAACAACAGAGACGAAGATGACGCGCATGAAAGCATTGGTAAAAAAAGGGGGTTCAATAATTTACTCAAACAGTTCAAGGGAGAAGAAAAAAAATAGGCTGTCTAGCAAAAGAAAACACGATAAATCATTAAAAACGTCAAAACGAATGAAAGGTTGCCCCCCGGGAGTCTGAAGGAAGAACATAAACAACACAAACGCGCGTCTTCTCGGAGCGTGCAATTTTTTGTTGTTGTTGTTGGGGAGCAACCAGCAAATTCCCGTGTATGACATACGGCTCGTTCGAGAGCTCATCTAACGCGGCATCTTATCCTGGAACTCACACTTGGCTTCGCAATCGGCACACACGTCGTTTCCTGGCTTCTTCAGGAGCTCCATGAGATACTTTTCATTCTCGTCCGCCATCTTGGCACTTACTACTCAACAACACAACACCGATACACACAGAGAGAGTAAAAATGTGTGTCGCCGCTTTTCGAATATAGCTATACATGTATTGATCATATAGATAGATAGATAGTATCTTTATTGGCATGAAATATACATATACAGCCAGAGTAAATTACAGAGATTTTTGCATCGATTCTTAAGTAGTACGGTTTTATACAAAGTTGTTCGCTGGCACTTAGATATTATTTGTAATAAGTAGAAAATAAAAATAATAGTAAGTAAATAATAAATTTTATGATCATTTCTCGCTCAGTTTTCAATCAGCGCCATCTCGCGTTGCGGATTTTGAGTTAAAAAGTATCCCTATTCTCGGAAAATCCTCCGCCAGACAGCGCTAGTGATAGAACTGCAAAAAGTCACTAGCCTAGTGACTTTTTTAAGTTAAAATCAGCCGCGCGAGATGGCGCTGATTGCAAAACGTGTATGAAAATATTTTTTACATATATTTTCTAAATTTTTACAAAATTTGGGTTAATAAATTCCGACTACGAAGACAACGACGACACTGAGTCCTAGTAACAACGTTTGCATACTTAATTCTATTTATAAAATACTTAAATAGACTGTACAAGGTATGTAAGAGTTAAAAAAATCAATAAATGAATAAAAGATTGAAAACATTATTACAATTAATTTTTTGTGTCATTAATCTCCAACAGTTTAATGAAATACATAATGTATTTACAAACTCTAAACAACTAGTTTTAAATCGTAGAGTTTTGGAGCATATACAAATAGTTAAAGTACCCAGATAAATTTTTAACAGTTTTGTCGCGCCAATTCCGGGAAAAATTGTGAATTGTACTTTTGTTTCATCAATGGCTTTGCAGATTCGACTGGTAGGGTTGTTGTACCTTGACTTCTTACTTCTGCTAACAATGCTTGAGCTCTCAATCTTTCCACCTTTTCTCTTTCCAATCTTTCTGCTCTCAACTTTTTGATATCTTCGCTACTTAGACCGCTAGAACTGACTATACCACCAAAAGAACAAGTACTTACGTCAAAGGGCTTTACTACTTGCTTATCCTTATCTTTACTTTTCTTGTGTTTCTTATGCTTCTTGTGTTTTTTGTGTTTCTTATGCTTCTTATGAGATTTTCCACCATCATCACTCGAGCTGCCACTTGATGACTTGTGCTTTTTACGCTTTTTTTTGGACTTGTGGTCATCTTCGCTCGAACTGTCGCTCACCAACGACTTGTGTTTTTTAATCTTTTTTCTAGGTTTCTGACTGCAATCTTCATCAGGATCACGCTTTCTTTTTTTCCCTACTTGAACCATGTTATTGAACACGTCACTTTCAACTTTGATCATATTAGGTTCAAGTTTGACCAAATTTGGTTCAAGTTTGACCGAATTTGGTTCAATTTTGACTCTAGAAGCTAGTATCTTTTTGTTTTTCTTATCCTCCATTTTTTGAGCATTCATTATATTTAAGTATCTCTTTATATCGTGAATAGGATCTTCCACAGCTTTTCTGTTAGGCTTGATTTCGACATTTTTTTCTGGATCACTGACTCTTTTTGGTAATTCATTATACCAACTTTTGCTAACAGCTTCTTTGATACCTTGGCCAAGGTAAGTCAGATAACCAATCTGCTTTTCATACTTTTCTTGCTCTTCTTTTTTGTCCTTCTCATAATCCTTGTTCGTCTTCTTATAGTCTATATTACCTTGTTCCAACTCTTCAAAAAAATTTACATGCTTAGAGGAAGATTTAGACCTACTCTGAACTTGTTTTGGTTCAGCATCATCTGGGAGAACGCTCTGATTTTTCTTTCTGGATTCATTCCTCAGAAAATTTATTCTTGCTTCACTTTCCTAATGGATATAAAATAGTCATCAATAAATAGTAAGAGACGAGTCATTCATCAATGAGAATACTTACAGCTTTGTCAATCCGAGCCTGCTCAATTCTGGCTTCTTCGGCAGCCTTGGCTTCATCCTTGCGAACTCTTGCTATGTTTTCCTTGGTACGCACATGCCACCTGTCAATTCACAACCAATACGTTTTTACGTTATATCCACACTTTGTCAAAATTATTAGCTAAAATGTTATATTTTCGGGTACATACCTTTTTTTTGGTAAGATATTCATTTCTTTTTGCTCTTCCAAGGGTTATGATTTTTAAGTTTTCATTTATCTAAATACTTAACGCTGTTTTAAAATTGTACACTTACACGACTCCACATAACTGAAAACCAATTGATGAACTAAAAAAAAAAGTGGTTTTTGTTTTGTCTTAATAATAATCAATCAACGAAAACAAACAATTGCAGTCCAAAGATAACAGATCCATTGCAGAGTACACTCATGCCGATAATGACAAAAAAGTTGCCATCTATCTTACCGACGATGAAGAACAAACACAGTCGTCTGCACAGCAGACGTTAAACGTTGCGTCAGTCAAACAGCGTATAGCAAATTGTTGACGTGTCTTGTAAGTGTATCCCTGCTAAAGTCGGCCAGCTAAATTTAATTTCGCTCGCGTCGAAAAATGTGAAATCCCGAGGTCATGATTCTGTCACGCTCGATCACCAGGATATCCCAGCTAACTACCTTGGCTCTGATACAACTGACAGTGTTCTGCTTCGTCCTCATCTTCGTCGCCAGCGATGGAGGCCCTAACCTCACTGCAGTTGTTATTAATCCAACAAACGCAACTACGCCCGAGATCAGCAAGGATGCGATCCAAGAAATCCCAAAAAATTCGAATACGAATGTCTCGAACGCCAAGGAGCAGCCTGCGGTGATTAAGCAGCAGCCAGATGCTAGTGCACCTCCAGTAAACACCAATGAGCAGCCTGTGGTGGTGCAGCAGCAGAGTCAACCAGATGACAGTGCAACTTTGGTAGTGTCTTCGACCTCGTCGTCCACTACCAGCATTTCAACGACCGAAGATGCGGGTAAAGTTCAGTCTTCATCAACAACTACTGCAACAACAACGTCAGAGTCCACGAGTACCTCCTCGACGACTTTGTCTACAACTGTGGCCACTTCCTCGACAACTTCGTCTACAACTGTGAGTACTACAGATACCAGTACCGTGAGTACTACGAGTACAATGGCTCCGACTACGAAGACAACGACGACACTGAGTCCTACTAGCAGCACCTATAACGAGTACAGCAGCTTGCCCGGTCCAGTGGTCACTGGGACCAACAGTGTCGATGTGGAAAACGAGACTACCTCTAGCAGCAGCACCACCACCACCACCACCACCACCACGGTTGCTCCTGTAGAGCCAGTCTTGCCAGCTAAGGGCTCTGCGGAGGAGGAACACAACAGCTCTATGTCAATATTCTTCGTCCTGTGCGTGCTAGCACTGGGTATTCTTCTCATACACCTAATGCTGCAGACAAATTTTCAATACTTGCCAGAGTCTGTGGTCATTGTATTCCTGGGTGCTGCCATCGGAATGTTCATAAATTTCGTTGCCCACAAGAATATCGCCAATTGGAAGAAGGAGGAGGCTTTCTCGCCCACCGCGTTTTTCTTGGTGCTCTTGCCGCCCATTATATTCGAGTCCGGATACAATTTGCACAAGGGCAACTTTTTCCAGAACATAGGAAGTATTATGGTCTTTGCCATATTTGGCACGGCTATTTCTGCTCTGGTCATTGGAGCCGGAATTTACTTGCTAGGATTAGCCCAGGTAGTTTATAGGCTTAGTTTTGTTGAGAGTTTTGCCTTTGGATCGCTCATTTCGGCGGTCGATCCTGTTGCAACGGTAGCTATTTTTCACGCACTTGATGTTGATCCCGTCCTGAATATGTTGGTGTTTGGAGAGTCAATATTAAACGATGCTGTAGCTATAGTATTAACCACTTCTGTTTTGGGATCAAATAGTGCTGCTACCATTGGAGAGGCTATTATCTTATCTCTTCAAAAATTCTGTTTGATGTTCTTTGCATCAGCCGGAATAGGAGTTGTCTTTGCACTTATGAGTGCTTTGTTGTTGAAACATATTGATCTTAGAAAAAATCCATCCTTAGAATTTGGGCTTATGCTGGTTTTCACTTATGCACCGTATGTCTTAGCTGAAGGAATACAACTTTCAGGTAAATAAAAATCATCATCATTATTCGATGAATGTTTTCAAGCATAAAAGTAATTCATGATTCGATTTTTTATTGCAGGAATCATGGCAATACTCTTCAACGGAATCGTAATGTCGCACTATACTCATTTTAATCTATCAACTGTTACGCAGATAACAATGCAACAAACAATGAGAACCTTAGCCTTCATTGCAGAAACATGTGTGTTTGCTTATTTAGGATTAGCGCTATTTAGTTTTAGACACAGGGTAAGATTTTATTGGTTTTACATAATTTGTACAGTCAATGCCGTTCAATATGCAATTAATATTTGAAATTAAACTTTCATTCTGATTGCGGAATACATAATTTATAACTTTGTACTTATTTTAAATGTTAAATCAAGTAATGTACCATTGGCATTTTCAGTTTGAACCAGCACTAGTCATTTGGTCCATCATACTGTGCCTTGCGGGAAGAGCAGCTAATATCTTCCCTTTAGCTATTCTTGTCAATCGATTCCGTGAACATCAGATAACTAGAAAAATGATGTTCATAATGTGGTTCAGTGGACTGAGAGGAGCCATTTCCTATGCTCTGTCACTTCATTTGGACTTTAGTGAAGAAACGCGACACGTCATAATAACGACTACTCTCATAATCGTACTTTTTACTACACTCATTTTTGGAGGATCCACTATGCCGCTACTGAAATTTATGCGAGCCGAGAAAAAGCAACGAAGTAGCAGACGCAGGAGGAAAGAGAAAGGAGTTTCACTTAGTAAAACTAGAGAATGGGTTTGTTGTTGCTTTCTATTTTATACTTTGATGTTATTTTTAAAACACAAAGTATTTTTGTAAATTCCACGTAGATGAATTTGTTGCTGCAAAAAAATGTTATTGCAATTTTTTATCTTTTGTAGGGTCAAGCCATTGATTCCGAACATTTGTCGGAACTGACGGAAGAGGAAATGGAAGTTTCGTTTCTACAATCGCGGATTCGCGGTTTTGCTCGCTGGGACCTGAAGTTTTTCATTCCCTTTTTTACGCGTCGATTTACACAGCAGGAGCTCAAGGATTGCAAATCACAGATGACCGATTTAACAAATCAATGGTACCAGGCGATTCGCATCAGTCCTATTGAATCAGATGACGAAGCGACAATTATGTCTTCAATGCAAATCCACAGTGGTGACAATATTTTTTCAGATAACCAAAAAGAATTACAAGAAATGAAATCTAAAGACCGTCCTAGTCATGGCTCTATATTGAGTATTTAGTACTTAAATAAATCATTTCACAAACTCTCTGAATAAAACAATACAGATTGCGATTGCTTGCACAAGTGCCAAAAATAGTAAAGCATTGGTTTTTTGAAGGTTTTCTTTTCATTTAAGAACATTACAGTACACTTGCTCGCACATTATTTTTTTATAGAGAGTTTTAATAGAAGTGTGCCTACTTTTATGAAGCTGTGTTACTTTATAATTTAAGTATTACAAAAAAAAAAAAATGTGATTTTCTAGACAATGAGTATTCATTACGTTTGTTGCTGAGCTTACAAACTTGAATTAATTATACTGATATCACTATTAGCTATAGAATATTAGATAATTGAAATTATTCCATTAAGTTTAAGTCATGGGTATTTCTCACATAGATGTTCAAGCTGTATATCTTTAATTAAAGTCTCGTACCTACCACTAGTATTGTGATAAACTAATTTTCAATATATTTATAATTGTTTATAGTTGAAAAATAGATTTTTTTTCAATGCTCTGTCAAATGTCTTAATCACAAAAAATACGCGCAAGCCTTGTACATGTAAATGAACATTAAATATACATTTACCGATCATTCATGTATGAATACGTAAAATACGATTCTACCAAGGCAAAGAAAAGTAACTGTTTGATTTCAATTTCGCCGAAAAAAAAAGTTATTGTATGTCTTGCTAAGCCTTATTATATACATTTGAAAAATAAACGTCTTATTGTAATTCGATCCAATTGTACAATAAAGTTTTATCTTTTTGAAAGTATAAGAAAAAGCTTTGTTTTCTTTATTTCTCTATGAATCTATCTACTCGTCCAATAAACGTTGCAACAATGTAAAACCATAGGAATTTGGAGAGAACAAAAAGCTGGTAAAAGGACTATATTCAAAGAAGAAAATTACTTTTTCAAGATTACCAGATAGATGCATTTAGCTAAACGAAAAAAAAAAATTCATATGGAAACTTGTGTTGCACAATGTACAGACCTTTGGAATAAGCAGTTTAAAACATTTTGGTGCGATTTGGGTACAGTATATATAATATATAAATGCCGATCATTGGGTCGATAGAAAAGATTTATATCTTATAAAAATATACGTTTTCCGGAAAATAATCATTACTGCAATCACTTGGAAAATTACATTCAAATGTTAAAAAGTATTTAAGGATTTGAAAGATCCAAAAGATGCATTAATCAAGATCATAAATAGAATCTAAGTTTGTTGGATTACAATGTATATTATATTATTACTCAATTCGAGCACGAAATCCTGAGATTTTTAATTCCGCGAATTTAAATTACAAAAGGCTCGGTCGAACATTCGATTTTTTAATTTAATATTCCATCCTCCCTCCCCCGCCTCCCCGCTCGCCGAAAAACATCACCGTGCAACTGTACTTATTATTCAAATATTCTACATCAAACGCGAATTCGAAGTGATATTTTTGAGTTCTTAACGATCTCGGGTTCAAAACGTTCGAATCCGCAGTGCAAACGGTCGGCCTCGACTCCTTCACAATTTGCCCCTCCAGCTTCACTCTCGTCGGGATCTTCAAATTGTGCGCGTCTGTGAATAGTATTTTGCAATAAATAATCGGTTCCGCGGCGGAAATCTTTAAAAAAGTGTAATAGTTTAGTTTCGCGTAAGTGCAGTGCTCGTTTTTTTTATCTCAATTCGCTTAAAATACCGTAAATATTCGCTATCGCTATCATGTATGGGATGAACTTCAAGAAAACGCCCGTTTTCGTCGTCGAGTCTCACAATGGGGTGAGTGTTTTTCTCATTTTCTCTATCAGAGACGTTAGTGATTCATTAATTGTTAATCGCGAAAAGTGTGTTTTGTATAACTACACACTCTACATACAGTGCGACTTTGGTTTTCGCAACATAACCTACAACTTTCGTGAACTGCCCGTACAATATGCAATCGAATTTGTTTGTTCTTTTGTGGTGGTAGAATAAATGGGAAAGTATCGGATGAATGCATTTTGCTAGAGGGAAGTACGGCAAACAATTACGGTTTAGAAATTGTACATTCGTGGTTTAAAACACATTCGGTTTTGGAGTAATCGGAGCCGCCGATCGCGGTGCTCGGAGCCGCTGCCCGCTAGCCGCTAAAATTACTTAATTCTTTTCGCGCGAAACCCTTAAACTATGCTCATCACGTACTTGTAATGTTTGTCTATATATGTGCTTTGTTCTCGTTGATAAAAATATTTGAATTTTTAGGCTTGTGTGTGTGTGTGTGTGTAGCATTTTCACAATTTCCCAATGGTTTTTGGGGGTAGATAGCCAACATAACGACTACTGTACACTGTTATCTGGAGGTAACTCATTGAAAAATCGTTTTTAATGGTATTTAGTAGGTACTTTCAGCGTTAATTTTTCTTCAGACAACTATGTTTTAACATAAAACCAGTCAATTAATCAAGTGCTTATTTTTTTTCCTTTTATGTGCGCATGTTATATACATTGTACAACTGCAACATTTGACATAATTGAGACTTAAGTTTTTTGTATTAAACTGTGACAAATTCTAAAAATTCAATGATCCTCAAAAATATTAAAAGTCCTTGCCATGTGAGAGCAACAGTTTTTTTCCATCCAAAAGAGAAAATTTAATTGTGATGTAACTCTGCATTAAATAATTAAATCTTTTGTCAAAAGTTCAAAGATTATAATGATAAATTATGTTAATTGATTTCAGCCCTAGTACATTTTAGTGCATTTTTTCTAAGAGCAAAATTGTTTCACAGATGCTGTTTTTCGCCTCTCGCTGCACCGAGTCCAAGAGTTTGTTGTTGGAAAAAACTCTTTCACATACTCCCGTCCTTATGAGTCGGTACTGAAAGATATGGGTACCGCAATTGGATGAAAGAAGAAAGAATCTATTTAAGTAAGTCGAATTAACTGTATGTCACTTAGAACTTTTCAATTAAATTTCTGATTCATTCAAAATATTACACTGTTGAAGCCTGTTCAGTGATCATTACTTGTTATATTCCAGTAATATCAGTATTTCAAATTGGATATCATCTGTCACAAATGTTGGGCATTTCAAGAACCTCCTTTGAGTTGAATTACTATGGGCTGATCCAATGGCTGATGAAGAAAGGACTTTTCTCATCGGCAAGCATAAGAGCACCAGATTAATGAGGCTAGTTCGCTTATTTAATAACAACTATATACTTAGTCAACAATTTTTATTATTTATTATACAACTTGAACATTAATTGACTCATAAAAACTCACGATTAAGAATCTTTAAAATTCAATGTAGTACAAAAAATATATAACAAGAATAACGATGATTAGAGTACTTAGTTTAATGATAGTTATAGTTGCAATGAAAAAAGTATATGTAATATGTAGTATGTTATACAAGTCCTTTGCCACCAAAACTTTCTGAGCTGCCATTAACAGACATTAACAAACAGCATTACTAAAATGTTTGGCCAATGGTTCCAAGATCCCATCCAAACACTAGGGTAAAAGCAAAGAGTGAAAATATCACTGTGCTAGAACTATTAATAAATAGAATTTTGTTATCGGATGGTAATTTTAAAAGTAATCTATTTTTTGCTAGTGGAAAAAATTATTGTATTTATAACGGTATCTGGACAACGAAAAGTCCCCAAAAGATGAATTGTAAATAATCCATCAAAGCTAAACGACCAAAAATAAATGTTTAAACAATGGTATTAACGTTCCCCATTTTGATTATCATAAGCATTTAATAGTCGTTACCGTCAGCTGCCACCGATCATCCTTTTCTTTATCGTGGGTGATTATTTTTTCTCTTACTCGAGTATTTAAACAGTGCATATTCCTTGTGAGTATACTGGTCACAGATAACTAAATAGACGACTTGATAAAGTGTACCCACGTTCTAGAAAGGAAAAGTTCGGTTACTCACTTTGATACTTACTTCATGCTGCTGCTATTTGCATGCACCGGAAGTCGATAAAATCCAGGCTAAGACTGTTAAAAATGTAAGTAAAATCTTTCCTGGTAAGTGTAACAGCAACAGCTGTGGAAAGTCACCTCTAGTGGGCGCGAAAACTGCAGGCGGAGTCACTTTTCGCTCTTCCGTTATTTCTATCGTTATTTTTGTCATTGCTTCTTTCTATAGGAGTTGGATAAGGAAATACGTAAATGCCGGTTAACTTTTGCATATTTATCTGTACTTATATGCGTACACTTTGCTTACGTACTGCTGAACGAGACCTATGCAATTTTAGTATCTGTAGCTTCGATTTATTTGCTTTTGTAATTAAAAATTATAAATTTTGGTCATTATATGGTATATTTGTTTTACTTATGATAAACAGTTGTTAATTTGCGTTACTTAATTAATTTTCATGTTTTTCACGACTACTCAAAAAAAGTATTGCATTTGCATACTCGTGTTAGCATGTATATGTAAACCCATGAACGTTGAGATGAAAAATTATGCTCTTGTATTAACATAACTCGAGTTGTCTTGCTCAGCAAAAATTATCGAAGTTTTCGCTCGGCGCGCCTGTAAAGAATACGCGTGTAAAAGTGTAAGGTGCAAATACATGTATTTTCCAAGTGACGAAAGAGCAAATTTCGATGTGATATCATCTTTGGAGCAAACGCCACTAACTTTTTTATCCTATTATTACCCTAAAAAAAAGTCCTGAGTATGGTAAACGACAGAGATTACAAAAATGAAGGGTGAGGTATGTGATAATGATTTTGTGTTATATACTTTTTCAATTAAAGTAATCGATGACTATTTCTTCTCACAGAATGGCAAGAACTTGTTAACAGTATGTAGCAGTATAATATATCGAAATACGTGCAGAATTTACGAATTCAGGTAAGAAATTTACAATAATTTATTATGATTTTGGGCATCTACCTATTAATTATTACATTTTTTTATCACAACCTATAGAAAGTCCTCGAAACACTTAACAAGTAAAGAACTATTTACATAAATTGTTACTATATTGATAAAAATGCATATTTAATGTCTAAAATATTTAAGGGTACTTGGTTTTCTTTACAGAGCACCGAGAACATTTACTCAGAAATGGGTGTTAACATCATAAACTTTCATGTGTGAAAGGAGATGCTCGCGTACCTACTACTTTAGTTAGATCAATCAAATACCTAAGATTTCAAGAATTTTCAGCTGGTATCAACAGCACGGTAACTATTTTATCCTATGTAGCTGTTACAATCAATGAGAGAGTGTTATTCTGAATTTTGAGCGCTGGAGAACGAAGCATCTTCAAATCGGCGAGCAGATCGGTACCCTACCGATCGTACAATGATCCGAAGACAAAGAATTTTATGATAAGGAAGAATTTAAAAAGCCTACCAGGCAGATATGCATTCATGTCACCAGTCACATTGTTATCGTTAGAAAAACTCTAAACAGCGATAAGGTACAATAATAAGCCGTTGCATTTACCTACTGTTTAGAATACTCCATGTCATACTTTTTGAAACAATTGTCTTTTCTATTTTCAGTTGAAGAGTACCTCAGGTTCACAAAACAGAGTACTTCGAAGCTCCTGAGTATTGGTGGAACTGGTGTCATTCAACTATGAGGACTATAAAAATTCTGTGAAGTCCACGTGGCGATAATTTTGCTACGCGTTACGATCCAAAGATGTTTGATGTATCTTGTATCGTCAAGAAGACATACTTACTTTTCTCGTGAAACGTCCCGATATCATCATCAACCGTGTGATGTTCTCTCACGTACAACGCTTTGTCACTTGATTGTGTGCATCCAAAGCAAAGTTTTTCCTGACAAAAAGCAGAGATGCAACAATGCTCTCAATGTACATTTATCCATGCTGCTGCTGATAAAGTACAGATACAAGTTAAGGCGCAACGAGGTCATGTGTAATGGCACAAAGGGCGTAAGATCATGCGTCTAAACTAAATGTCAGGCAATGTGATTTGTAGTAGAGAGAAAGAATTCTTGGAACATCTTTTTTTAAAAGTGTTTCTTTTATAATAAGTCTATTCAAGTAGTTTTTCTGCATTTATTTCGTATTATTCGATTCATGTTTGAAACTCTTAGAATAAAATAAGATCAATTGCTTTTACAAGTGCCATTATTTTCAAGTTCAAATCAATTTAATATCAGTGTGTATGCAAATACCACTGTGGACAATAGAATTTAAGATAAGTGAAATTATTTCAATAAATTGGATTTCTTTTCATACCTTATAAAAATGTTAAAACTTGTATTTTTATTAGTGTTGTGATAAACGAATTGTTAGTCTATTAGTACTGGAAAAAATGTTCTTGTATTTTGTATTGTACATTATGATTCTGTATGAAGAACTAAATTATGTGAAATGCGCCCAAACATTGGAAAAACTTGAAAATGTAATTATAATTAAAATGGAAATAAACTTATAATTGAAAATGTTCTATGAATTGAAAAATTGCTTTATTAGGCACGGCTTTTATTATCTTCTTAAATGCAAAAGTTTAAAAGTAATCTATTTTTTGCTAGTGGAAAAAATTATTGTATTTATAACGGTATCTGGACAACGAAAAGTCCCCAAAAGATGAATTGTAAATAATCCATCAAAGCTAAACGACCAAAAATANTAATTTTTATCATTTAGAAATATTTATAAAATAAAAATCTATAACAACCCTATACTATAAAAAAATGCATACCTTGTATTCTTTCTAAATTTACCTATGTGTAAGAGTATGACGTAAGGGCGGTGAGGATTGAAAGAAAACAATAGGATGCCAAAAAAAACGTCAAGGGGGAAAAAACTAGTTTCGTGAGAACAACTTACTGCTCTATAAGGTATTCAGCACGGGCTCAAAGAACATGCGTACATATCAATTTCGAGTACGAAAGTAAAGCAATAATTTTGCTGCTTCGAATCTCCTATACAATAAAAACTCGCTTTTTTACACTATTTAAGACACATAACTACGAAACTCAATTTATTGAGAGCATTTAATGCATAATTTTTCTATATTCCATAATTTACACTCATATACAAATAATATTATACATATTGATACATAACAAAGCTTTCCGGAGTTTTCGTTTACGTAAAAACGAAGATCCGATCGTCCGGTCTTCACTGGTTCAAATTTCGAACGCGCATCCGATTTTAAATAATCGGTCGTTCCCCTCCCCCGCCTCCCCACTCGCCGAAAAACATCACATTGCAACTGTATTATTCAAATATTCTACATCAAACGCGAATTCGAAGTGATATTTTTGAGTTCTTAACGATCTCGGGTTCAAAACGTTCGAATCCGCAGTGCAAACGGTCGGCCTCGACTCCTTCACAATTTGCCTCTCCAGCTTCACTCTCGCCGGGATCTTCAAGTTGTGCGCGCGCGTGTGTATTTTATTGCGTTGATTTGTCGGTTCCGCGGCGGAAATCTTTAAAAAAGTGTAATAGTTTAGTTTCGCGTAAGTGCAGTGCTCGTTTTTTTATCTCAATTCGCTTAAAATACCGTTAATATTCGCTATCGCTATCATGTCTGGGATAACGAAGAACTTCAAGAAGACGCCCGTTTTCGTCGTCGAGTCTCACAATGAGGTGAGTGACGTGTTATTCCAACGTCTTTAGATCGATCGGGCATGTTAGATCTTTGTTTTGCGGCAAGTGGCACATCAATTAATCATTGATTACGATCGCGACAAGTGCATTTTTCGTGCAGCCAATTCAGGTCCGATTTTCTGTTTTGCGACATAACCTACAACTTGTACGAGTTGCCAATACGCAAATGTAATCGTTCCGCGAACTCCAACTTGTTTGTCACTCGTAGTACAACCTAAGAGTACAACTGAGCCGTTTAAGTATATGATAGTTTGTTGGGTTAGGAACATTTTTTATACTCTCACAAGAGTCGAACAATGCACTATGTTCCGGTCTATCAGTCTATCACGCACAATCCTTTAGCAGAGATGAGAGTAGTCTACTATCTGACTATCTCTGCCTTTAGTGCGCTCAACCTACTGCGCAAGTGCGCACTCTTTTTGAAATTTGAAGGCGTATACCACCCTTGCTAGGCTTGTCTATCTCGCGTGGCGTGGGATGCGCGCACACAGAGAAGAAAAAGTCGCCAGATTGGTTGCCGAGAATTCAAACAACAACCAATTCGGAGCCGCGGTTGTTTTCGCGGAAATTATGAGACTGGGCATCGTGGTAAACGGTGTATATCTGCGTTTCATTCGCATAGATGAAAATAATAAAACTTTTAGGCTTATGTGGATACATAGTGTGTAGCCTATATTCCCAGAGCATAAGATCTCATAGAGCACCATGGGAATGAGGGGTATGAGGATGAAGTAGTTTTCCAGGAATCTCTCGAACACCCACAATGTCCCATGGACTTCCATGCATTTTTTATAACAAATTCTGAAGACGTGTAACTACTGTCTCATTTGTATCCTCAGAAATATCCTATTTTGGGGGTTAATCGTTAACAGTGAAATAATGGAACGCTTTTGTCCAAAACTATCTTACACATAAAGATGTTTAATTACATAACTGGCCATGATTCTTAGAGTACTTATGTTTAACATTTATATTTGATCAAACCAATCAACAATTTGCACATATACATTCATTTTTGCATATATCTGCTAAATATTAAATTTATTCATAAGTATTACGTCGCACATGTAAAGTTTTTTACTTTTTAAATACAAAACTGTACTATAAGGCATAAATAAGCCCATTTGTTTGTATTTTATACCTAGACTACGTATAAGAATTTATCCAGTAGCATCATAAGAAATCACTGATATAAAAAAGACGGTTTTTCATTCCAAACTACCATAAAAATTAAAACATGCTCACTTGTAGAAAAAATCTGTGTTAGAAAATAAAATTTCATACAAAAAATTCATGTATTTAAATAACAATTATTATTTGTCAATTTCAGCTCTAAAATATTCAATTAAATTTTTTCTAAAAGCAAGTTCATTTTACAGATACTGCCTTTTATCTATCGCTGCATTGGATCCAAGCATTTGTTGTTTGAGGGAAATACTTTTATACATTTGGACTCTCATCCAGACATGTTGGTGCCAAAAGACATGGATGCTAATACTGTATGGAAGAAAGAAGAATTGTTTTCGTAAGTTGAATTTGAAAGTTTTCAAATGGAATTAAAAACATTGATTTATAATTTATTTAAAACAATGCACTATCAAACCTATTTAAATAAAATTTTTTGTCTAGTAAAATCAGTATCGAAAATTGGATGTTACCTGCTGCATATGCTGGACATTTCAAAAATCTTATTTGGGTTAAACCACCATGGGCTAATCAAATGGTTGATGGAGTGAGGACTTTCCTCATCGGCAAGCATAAGGACAGTGGATCAATAAGGTAAGTGTACTAATGAAAAAAATTCAGTAAAAATGTTAATTGCATTTACCACAAATCTATTTGATTCAGTTATCCAAAAAATATTTTATAAATTAAGTATTATTTTAAAAAGGTAAAAGTACATGAATAATATAATTGAATTTAAAAATTTTGTAATTTCACTTAATGAAATAGAGAAATGATGTAATTTTTATGTGGCGCTTTTTCATCAAACAAACAAACATAGTTAACTGAAAAGTAGAAAAACATTAGCGAGAGTATTTCTAAGCTTGTTCAGGTACATAAAAAGCTCAATGACTTTAATCTATGTTGGCAATTTCTAAGCAGCAGAAATAACTGTGTAGCAAAAATAACATTGATCACAGTAAAACCGGTTAAAATGGAAAATATATATCTGTAATATCATATGAATAAGTCACTGGTTACCAAAACTCTCAGAACTGCCATTATCAAACAATAGTAAATAGAATCTCTTAAAGAGAGTTCAACTACAGCAGCAAGGTCTCATCTATCCACTGAAAAAATGTTGAAGTACAGGAGTACTACCAACAGTAAAAGCAGAAATTCACCCTGGACTGGCCCAAGCTGTTCTGGGCGTTGAGTGCTACTGAAGCATATGGAAACCGAGTAAGGATAGATGTAAACACCTGTAGTTTTATTAAAACTATCTTATTTGCTTCAGTGAACCTCCATGTGTGGAACCTCTGCTTGAGCTAGTTTGTAAATTACTTCCCGTCAGGTGTTCAACCTTTGCTTATAAAAGTACCCACGAGACCTTTGCAAGACATCACGAGTTTACTTTTTTTTTCTGCTCAGGGACCATTTTTTCGAATACTTTGCGTTATACAAATACATTCTCGTTCGATAATCTAACTAGAGTATAAGGTGAGCCTGTACTTAGGCAACCACGCACTCTTGGGTAGGGCCCCTGTTACAGCTGAGTTATATTTTCGATCTTGTCAGGTTGTTGCTCTTTACTTGTTTGGTACGTTACTTAACACATATTTATTATTCTGAATTGAAACATTTTGTAAATAAAAAATTATATTTTGTCAATCATATACACTTAATTAATATAAATCTATGCTTCAGCACACTTTTACACGTTTGAACATCGAAATTCTCAATGTTGATCTTTCAAAGTACACAAGAATGGCTGCATGCTCACCGCGAGGATACGATAAATATTCGAGCTCGGAAGCACCCTGCACCGGCGTGCACGCGTTAAGCATTGTATACCCATATCGTGACTGCGACCTAACATTATGTGCACGTACATGGCTCGAGGGGTTGTGTCTTGCTCCGCAAAAATTCTCGAGGCTTTCTCTCGGCGCCTGTGCAGGATGTGCGCGTATGCAAAAGCTGTAAGGTACCATCGCCTGTTTGTCTAGTAGCGGTAAAAATGTAGATATGCACGTGTGCAGCTTGTCTAGATCATCCTTGGGGCAAACTGTGTACCGACTCTTCTACCTCCACTACTTACATCTTTGTATCTCGTGTGCTTATGTTCTCTTTTCTTTGGCTATACTTACTTCTTGTTTTTCGAGATTATCGTCTTCACTTTTGTGTGGTAGCTTATGTAGATGCAAATCTAATTTAAATTTCAGTTGCTCAGAGATGCCAAAGTGCTAAGGTGTTTCAGTTTTTGATCAACGTTTACGTGAAACAATTGCATTTTATAAGTAAGCCTGTACTTACTTTCAACTGCTCATAAAGATATTCCATGAATGTCAGCACGAGTATCTTAAGTATGTTTGTAAAAGATCTTGAAAATAGATACACGGTCGGCTAGACGGACACGAAAAAATCACTTTTTTCGCATTCCGCGAATTTCTCCTGGTCTTGTATCAAAATGTACCGTATATTGTGTATAGTAGCTATCGAAAGCGAGAAAGATATTCGCATCGTCACGCGCATTCTCAAATCGTGTTTGTGCTCAAGAATGAATGTATACGTAATGTGCCTATATCTGTTTTGCAATCGTGGTTTCAGTTTCACACTCGATGATTTGTTTGCTCTCACTCACATTCTTGGCTTGTAAGTTAGAAAAGAAAAAGAAAAAAAAAAAAAATTGAAAATTGATTGATGGTATTTGTCAAGAAGATCCAGCGTGTAAGCTTCGTCTGAAACGTGATTTACACCACCAGTAAAGCCTTGAGCGTCTTCGTAGCGAAACTGTACGTACATCAGAATGCAAAGAGACGGGTATCATAGCGGAGTATGGATCATCACTATGATTATTATTTATTGCCCGAAAGAGACAGAAAGGACATAATGAAAAAAAAAAAAAAAGTAATAATAAAAGGCGTCGAGAGGACCGCGGGCGGTTTATCCACGGCACACTGGCATGCGGCTCATCCTCTAATGGGCCTTAATAGATATTCTAACACCTGTTCTTAGCCACGTTTATTGCGGCCGCTTAAACACAGATGCCGTAAGGAAAAGAGGGCCTCGCTTTGGTGTGGGATGGGCTGTACTATACCCAGGGATGATCTGACTTTTACAACGAGACTCGGTCGTAAATGGCGTCTTTTAAATTCACTTTAGGTGCACGGTAAATTGTACAGGCTTCGCTGGGGCTTGTGCAAAATTGAAATGCAGCGCTTTTGTGTCGGAAAAGTGCGCGCCTCCTTTTACTTCGATGATTAAACAATATTGCAGAGTATAGCACCAGGCCGTCGCGTCGGTGCTTCCAATTTTATTCTTCGTCCTTTATTCCGTTCTTTTACCCTCATGGACTCTATTAAAGTTAAAGTATTGTTTTTGTTGTTGTTGTTGCTGTTGAAAGCTACATGTATACATGTAAACATTTTCAAAAAATTTTTAGGGATGACTGCATTGTATTTATCATAGCAAAAATGTTATTTTTCGTTGCAGAAAAATTATTAAATACAATTCGAGAATGTTCCGACCACTTTGCATTATTGTGTGGGGTAAAGCCATTGCAATGCTTTAAAACGTTTTAAATTGACAAAATATCTTTTTGACGGCAAATTTTGATAAAACTTGTAGATGTACATACAACAAACATTTTTTGTATGTAACATTTTATTTACACTTTTACTCTGGTAAAATATATATGCCCATCATTTGTGCCTTGTATGAATGTATTAAAGTTCGCTTGATTGAAAGATTACAGCTAAAGCTTAACTAAATAATGTTATGGATGAAATGAAAATGACACCTGCCTTGAAAATTATAATTTTTTGACACGAAAAAATATATGAAGCTCTCACAGAGTTGTATGCAACTCTGTCAGACCATTGAAAACAATTCAGTTCAGTACCCCCTTTTTTACCCCCTTCTTGTATTTTTTTTCCATTTCCGTCTCGTCGCTCACCTTCATCAGGTGAAGAGGAATCTCCTTTCTTCGTTTGTGCAGTGTACTTCATTTTGTCCCTTTTCAATACATACCTACACAGTCTGCCGTTGCACCTCGACATTTTTTTCTTAAGAAATTCTCCCTTCTTTGCGCCGTAGGATTATAACAATACTTACCGCGAAATTTTAGCAGGCTGCTCTCGACGTTTTTCAACATTTTCTATTCCCCTTTTTCTGGTCTTGGAAAATTATAGATGAGACCATTTTTAGTTCTATGGTTGACAATTTTTTTCATGTTGACTTTTCTGAGTAGAAACAAGAAAGATTCTTGAGTTTGAAAATCCTGATTTTTCTTGAAAAATATTTACACATATATAATTAATACAATAATTTTTGTAACTGTCAAACTTGTATGAACTAAACCTTTTTCAACGCTGATTTTTGGAGATTCAAATTAAAAATAAACTACTTTTGGCATTCCACGTGAAAAATAGTTGAAAGTTATTCTGTTACGAGCATTTACATTCTTTCTCAATCGATTAATGACAAGTTGTATTAATTGTTTTATGCAAGTGTATATACATCAGCATTCATATCACAATAAAATACACTTTAGACTACGCCTATTTACACAAAACAGAAAAACAAAATCCCATAAATTTACTTATAAAACTATAACCAGCACTATTAATTTTTTCAAAACAAATTATCGACCAACTAATTGTTACAAGACTTTACGAGGGTCATGCGTATGTATATAATATATATTTTAAAAAATCAGGCGGCGCTTCCTCGCGTAGCGACGAGCGGGCGTGCCGATATCTAACGCAGCGTACCAGCACGCGCGCAATAGAAGACCCACCGGGCAAATTGCACTCGCGTAATTTTTTCCTTTTTTTTTTTATATACATTTACACAACACGTCTCCGCAATGGCTTCTCCTCCTCTTATCCAGCGTCACGCTCCGCCCGCTCTCTTGTCCTCTTGTGCAATCTCTCTCTCTCTCTCTCTCTCTCTCTCTCACACACACACACCTCCGTCATATTTATAAAAGTAGCTACGCTGCCAATATCTATTAAAATGCATCTGTGCGCGATTATCTAACCCACGCGAGATCACGAGTAAACTGCGCGACGTCGTTAGTTTTGCAATTTTTTGTTTTTTGTTTTCTCGCTCTTTTGTACTTTACCTCGATGTACGTGCACATAACGCGCGTTCGGAGGATAATGCAGTGACGCAACAACAGCGAGGAATTTTTCCAGCGACGAGCTTCTTTGTTCGGCATGTCCTTTCGTCGCTCAAGCGATTTTCCTTTAATTTATGATAATGCGCGACCAAACTAACGAGAGACTCGAGAGGGTACACAGAGAGAGAGAGAGAGAGTTTGTCATTGTGCGAGCGGACCAGCTCGACGAAATGAGAAATTGTCTTTGCCTCTCTCTCTCTTTCTCTCTTT